GTTTGCTTCAATGTCACTATTGATATGTCTCCAACTGAAATACAGAGGCTGAGTTGTAGTGAGAGGGAAACAGCCAGGACAAAATGGCCTTAGAGGAGAGTTGTAATGTCACATCTTACACGAGCAGCTCTGTGAAAGCATTCATGGTAAAGCCGGGGATCTTCTCCATCAGCTGCTGCTCCAGGTGTTTCTCCAGCAGGTCAACCTATACAATACAGTGTGTATTAATTTGGTCTTTTTATTTATTTAAATTAATTTTAGCTGACGCTTTTTTCCCAAAGCGACTTACAATTGCTATATATGACATGGGGTTAAGTATCTTGCTTAACACCTACACATTGCTCAACAAGTACACATTGGTGTCTCACGGTGGATTTGCACCTGGGTCTTTCACACCAAAGGCATGTGTCTTATCCACTGCCCCATCACCACCCCAGCCTACATACCAGACTAATACAGACTATCAGTAAAAAGTCATAATCTTTGATAGAGCTATAGGTTGAAATTACAGACAAGGTAATATATAAGTGTCATTTTTCTGTAACTGTGTATTAGAGAGAGTTACATAAATTAGATAATTGTATCTCATATTCCTTAAAGACAGATATGGGAGTTACATTTGGCCAGAGCAAGATGCCCAGCAACTCACATATGCATTAAAGATGGGTGTGTAGCTGAGCTTGTTCTCGTCAGAGTCATCAAACTCCAGGTAGTGTTTGTCCAAGAAGCTCTTCTGAAGCTGCTGGAACTCCTCCTCTAAAAGAAAAGTAATGGACATGTAGAACATCACATATCTTCACCATTAACTGGTGAAACACTGAGGATTTCTACAATATGTCTTCAGCTGGCTTAGTGTACTGGCCATATAACAGAAATGTGGAAATGCTTCACCTCTGTACACTTTCCTGCCATACATTTTTCACCATGCCCACACAGAATAAGTATTGTAGCAGCAAATGTTGGCATCTCTAATATATTTCCATACAGTAATTCCCTTTAATTTGTCCTTCTATATTGCCGTGCATTTCTTTTCTGAATGCCTTTTATGTCCTATAAAGCACTATGAATTGCCTTCAAAGTTCAAAGTTGCTGTACAACTAAACTTGCCTTACTCGACAAGTGTACATGTCTTTGAATCAAAGTAATTTAAAAATTTCTCTCACAGAACATAAAAAATACAAGACTGAATTGGTTAAAGCAATTTATATAATGTCTCCAAAGCCACTTCAGTGGCTCTATATACAATGATAACCGCTTCGTACAGTCAGGTTGCTGAATTCATCTTTCACAATTATGATTGAAACTCTATATATATATATATAATACACACACACACACACACACAGAGAGAGAGAGAGAGAGTGTAACACCACTAGAGTGTAACACCACTAGTCCTACCCATGATGATGTCCTCTATGCAGCCAATAACAGCATCAAAAGCAGCGTCTGCAGCCGAGGAACTGGAGGGAGATAAACAAGAAATAAAGAACATTTTCCATTGTGTATATATTGGATTTGCACGTTATTGATAATTTATATTTGCACTCTTTATGTCGGCAGTCTTTCCTACTTTGTGCAGCACAACTATTTCCCTTGAGATAAATAATGTTCCATCTTATCCTAAACAAGCATTCCATCATCACATAGCTTGACCATTCAATGATTTCGCCTTTGCATGTGACTTAGAGCACAAGTCTCATAAAGTAAACACTGTATTTACACAGCTCAAAATAGAAAACGTTCAAATGCTAATGTCTTAACTTACACTGGTGCCTACCGCAATCAAGACCTGACCTGAGACTTGCTCAAATGGCTTAAAAGCAGGTCGAGACAACCCACCTGGAAATAGCAAAGTTTTCTTCTTCCATGTCAACCATGTCTACGATATTTTCTCCACAGCTCAGGACATCTGGAGAATTAGGGGAGGGAACGTCAAATTAGCTGCTAAACAAAACAGCTAACATTAACTGATACAAATTTCACACCAAACGCACTATTGCCATTCAGATACAAAGCTGTTCAGCAGCTAACAATTTTTGGTCCTTACTGAGCAATAACGTGAGTTAGCTATGCTATGCTAACGTTAGCTGACTAAGTCAATGTTAGCTAACCTTAGCTAAACACAGCTTTAAATAAATACGAACTGTCAAAGTTTGTTTTATTTCATATTTTCCGAACTAAAAGTATTACTTTACACCTTCCTTAAGATGTGTTAATGATACATTTATTTAAATGACTCACTTCGTCCCTTTATGTCCATGTTGTTAAAATAAATCCTTAACGTGGATGTTGTTGCCTTGGAAACGGCGAACGTGTGTGCGCGCCTGTACGTCCCGTCCGGTACAACAAAATCTGTGTCCGGAGGTTCCTACCTGAGAACAGCGGTGTGGACCATTTACACATTTTTACTGACTTTTACTGAGACGAAGTCCACATGCTTTCCGTACTGTTTCACTCAAACTCAAAAGTAAATAATAAAATTATTACCAGATCTTTACGGTCATTATTCAAGTACCGGTATCTACCTTGGTTGTGATCCACTGTTATTTCAAGGATTAATGCGTAGATAAATGTATATTAAGTTCTGCACATCGACACATACCGTACTCTCCACCTCTCACGCCCCCATCTCCATCAATTGTCAGGCAGCAGAAATTGTTGACGGCTTCAGGTACCTTGACGTAATTTTGGACAATAAACGGAGTTTTGGGAAGAGTTTGGTACCTTGCGCTATAACAGCGTTAAATTCACAAATTCACGATGCCACTTCTGTGTAATATGTGTACAATCTATGCTGAAGGTTGCCCTTTTAGGTAAAATCTGAGAGAAAAAAATTCCTCCATTGAGGACAACAAAGAAAAAATCTGAATCACACACTAAGGCCAAGTGTTTATGTAATAACTGGAAAGGCAGTATTAAATAACCAGATTATCATCACCATCATCAAAATTTGATTCTAAGTGTAAATAAACACCACTCAGTCATACAAAAAAAAAAAAAAAAAATCACATGAACATACATTTATTACAAATATCACAATCCAAGAAACAACAGTTCTTCAATCTATCACATCTTTGGGAACTCTGGGGGAAAATTCCTTTATAGATGTTTTAAATACAGCTCACAATTTATTCTTTACAATCCTGAACTTCATCTCCAACCATAGAGACAACTGTATAATTTATCTCCCCTGTAGGTATAAGGTGCTCCAGGAAATACGAGCTAGTAAACAGTGACCAGACTAGTCTTTTGTCACAATGAGAGATGCATGTAATCTTTTAGAAATCATTCCAGTATAGTCTGAATGATTTTACAGATCCCGTCCATGCAATCTTGTGTAGTAAATCTTTCATAAACAATGACCAAAATAAATTTGAAATTATTCAGTGTGACCATTTGAAATGTCATTGATTTTTTTTTAAATGTACTATTAGAATTTGTCCTGAATCACAATCTCTCTCATGTTCGTTTCGTCACGTGTTTCCAAATATAAATATAAATCAACCCAGAGAGACTTCAAGTAAAGGACGGACAGAAAGAGACAGTGGGAGACAGACGGAGAAACGGCAAGATGAGAGCAGCGAGATGTGCTGTTATATAAAGCACAAAGAGGGGAAACCACATTATACTCAAGTCTGAAGATACACTTCCTGACAAACTTGTTTTGACAAGATCAGTCCTATAAGCAAGAAATCCCACCAAGAGTGCTGTGATTTGTACCAAGTAAAGTATAAATTCATGTTTTCTTCTGTAGTGAAGCACACACTCTTTAAGACATGTCACTGTGCTGTGGGTAGTTTCTTTTCTCATTTATGTCAAGTATTTCACCACCAAATCAGACCAAAAAAAGACAACATCTTCAAAATGACGCTGGGATATTAAGTAATATACTGATAAAAAGGAAAAAACATTGATTTAAACAATTTATCGGTCAAAACAACACTGTCAATCAACAAAACATGTTGTACCTCTCAACCACGTTTCTACATCTGTGTTCACCATCATTTACAACACAAAATTAAATTACATCTTGTGGATTGAATACAGACGCACGTGTTTGTCATCACAAACAAAAATTAAGACATTTACTTTATTTGCTGCCCCTCAAATGAGTCTGACTCACAGTGGAGCTGCATCACAAGTTGTTGCCAAATTCTTAGCACCAATCAAACAATAACCAATAAATCCAGACAGTGGAAATTCAAATTGTACACTTGTGCCTCACTTGCTCTTCAAACATATCCACTTATAACTGGCGGGCGGGGTGGGGACTTGGTTCCAAATTAAAAAGATTAGCTGTCAGCATGTGTGTGCAAGCAGCCTAAGCAGTAACTGTTACAATTTGTTGCAGTTGTTACATACATGACCAAGACTGAGGAAATATCAACATCTGAGCAAAGACGATAAAGCACAAAAAGCAGCAGGGTCAGCTGTGCTGAGAATCAATTAGCATTTCGTTGGTTTACTGATTATAAAACATGAATTATGTCATTAACGTTCTCTGTTGTGTAACAGCTGATTTGATTTTGTAAACCGAATCAAAAATTGAACGCTAGGACTAATTCTAGCTTTTTGACACCAAGACCAAAATCTGATATTTTACCCAAAGGTGACTTTTTTTCCCCCCAATGGAAAACTCTGGCAGTGGGCGATCAATCAGTACAGACAGTGAAGCTGACAAAAGGATAGGTGTTGGTAGAACCTTGAGAAAAGAGAATAAAAATGCTACCTTAAGAACATCATAACTAGCATATGTATATTCAAAGATCTCTCTCAAATTTATCTGTACCATGGTTTTTAAACTGGATTTAAGGCTGTGTTCTTTTCTGCCACCCAGCCCTTTCAGATCTGCAGACGTGTGCATGATGGTGATGGGATTAAATAGTAGTAGGCTCTGGGCTGAAAGCGCAGTGGGATCCTCCTATCACAGAAAGGATGTCTGATAACGCTACGCAGGGGCTTGCAGATGAGAGGTTGGTTCTGTTTGTAATCTGGTTAAATTGTTTCTGCTCCTCGCTCCTGCTCCTTTTGTCTGAAAAACACACGGTTAGTAGAAAGTTGACGATTGTTGCTTCTGCGGTGAGTTGTCAGAAGGATACAAAAGAGGGGATGTAGGTAAATGAGGGAAAACTGGGGATCCAGCTGTGGCAAATTCCCCTCTTCTAATTCCTCTCTCCACCATCGCCTCCTTTTACCAAAAGTCCTCCCAGTTATGGTATTATCGCAACATTGTGGAGCCGTCCTCTCAGCCCTGTTGGGTGAAAGGGGATTAGTGGAGGAGGAGGGAGCTGTAGGGCTTGTGTGTCTCTCCTTATTGGATGAGTGGCTGGAAGTGTGTCAGGAGATATGTGCAATGAGTCTGACGCGGTTCTGGATGTCCTGGCGGCACAGGGGGCACGTCTCTAACTGTAAGGCACATTCCATACACATACCGCTGGAAGAAGATGGGGGGAAAACATAAAGGAAGATTTTATTATCAATTAACAATGCTCTGATTTACTAAGACAAGCTGCTCTCAAAGAAATTATATCCAAATATTTTTGAGCTAACATATCTTTGGGATTTTCAATTTCCAAATTGTTTGTTCACACCACATGCACACATACCCATGTCCACAGGGCCGCAGCTCCGTGTCAGCCATGACGTCACAACACAGCGTGCAGCAGTTGTCTCTGATGCTGACCTGCTTTAGTAAGGCCAGACGCCGGTGTCTGGGAAACACATACAAAAGCAGATAAATGTTTCCGTTTAAAGCAACTTGAGCAACATGACCTCTTGTTAATTTGATTATGCTCATTTATGAATCTAAAATTCCTTTGTTCCCTGTGTGTGTATATAGTACACATCTGCTGTGGGGCAGCTGGCCAAAAATATTTTTTTGTTTATTATTCCACTGTTGGTCCTCTAGTTTGCCTTAATTGCATATTCAAAATAAAGAACAAACTGTGGTGCGAGTAAACACATTTCCAAGCTAGTGTTCTGTTTGTTTAAATAACAACTGCAAACAACTTTGCAATAATTCCCTTCTTTGTCAAGATTGTAATAGTTCAGTTTGTGTTAACACTGTGTCTGAGAAGTGCTGAGTCAACTCTGGTAATATTCTCAGTCATAATGTTTTATGCACAGGATTGCGATAGAGTTGAGTTTCTGAACATTTTAAGCTTCCCAAAGATGTTATATACACCATTTCCTGTACAGATATTGTTCTGCTCATATCACTGCATCTAACGAGTGTTAATAAAGTCCTTTAATCCTTACATTTACAAAGTCTAAAGAGTTGCTTTATTGTTGCCAATGAATAAATGAGTCATGGTTTAACCATGCAATTCCTACGTGCTGGACACTGTGTGCAAACAAATGATTCACTAGTCAGAGCATGGTTGGGTAAGACAACAGATTACATGCTGCTTTCCTAAATTCTCTGCGAGTAGTCCATTTTAGACACATAAAAATCACTAAGGACCAGCTTTATTTCTCACCTGGGTAGGATGATCTTTTCACTGGGCAGCAGTGAAGCGAAGTCGTTGAAGGTGCTGAACTTGACGGAAGGTGGGTGACGGAAAGGCTTGGCCCCAAAGTTAAACTCACACTGCTGGTATGACATAAAGCTGGCTGCCGCAAAGAAACCGGACCTGACAGACACAGAGGCGATGGAAAGAAATGGGTTCATTTGAAGACAGACGGACAGAAGAAAGAAGAAGCACACGCACAGGAAAGAAAGAAGGAAGGAAAGAGAAGGGGAGAACAGAGAGAAAGGAAGTGAATGAGGGAGTGCGTATGGACTCACGTGGCGGAGGAGAAGACCTGTTTCTCTGGTGGAAGCTGATGTCCATTCAGATAGAAGATCATCTGCTTCTTGCTGAGGTCCAACAGGAAGCCGATGGCATCTCCTAAACAGGACACACACAGAGCGGAATAAAGTTATTTATTTATCACTCCACGTGGGAGGTAAATCAGAGCCTGAATGCCGCCGATGGGAGCAGCGTGTGGGTGCTAAATTCACAAAACCCTCCAGAGACACTAAAAACAATAATGCAATGTCTGAACAAATGAGTCTGACATTTAAAGCGTGGTGTTGCCTTGCTTCTACTGTTAAAACCACAACTGACAAAGTGTATGAAAAATAGTAGTCTGAAGTCATAACTGTGTGCGGTGCATACCCTCTTTCCAGCAGGGGTGAGAGTGAGGTTTACTGCGAGCGTTGTACCAGATGAGCTGCCTGCAGCCATCATACGCACATGAGTATTCGTCGTCTCCTATCCCATAACCTTCCTGTAACACACACAAAATGTTAACTTGTGCGACTGCAGAAAAACAGTAAAGCTGCACAGTAAACAGACATTCAAGGTGAGTACATGGTTGAGGAACTTGCTGTCCTTGGTGGCCCATCCGATTTGCATCACGCCTGATGTGATGACAGTCACCTCGTAGTACCAAACGCCCGTATCCACGCAGAATGTACAACGCACGCTCTCAAAGGATGAGGCATCACATCGTGCCTGAGGAGGGAAGCAAAAAGAGAGAGAACACATTCAGACTTCATATGTACACAAGATTAAAGTATTAAAATCTCAATGTTGGGGAACTCATTATTTTTAAATGTTACAGTCTGTTACTGATCACAACTATACCTATGAATTCTGCCACTGTGTCTATTGTCATTGACTGCACGCACACGCGCACACACACACACACACACACACACACACACACACACACACACATACACACTAACCTCGAGTCCAGAAGGGGAGATCTTGAGGTACTCGCTGACATCGTTGCTGTTGAGCATGGCATTGATACTGGCGAGGTTGACCTTCTCGTAGGTGAACTGACGACCTTCCTTTAGGACTGGACAGAGGACAACAGCGGAAAGATTTTCACATTTCTTTCTTCAGTGACACACACAAAAACCTAATTAAAGAGGCTGTTGTGGCCCTGTCTCCTCAGCACGTGATAACACACAAAGTTAAAAAAAATAATAATGGGGCTACTCACACAGGTTGTCAAGGCTCCACTGTGAGCAGAATCCGACCTGCCTCTTCAGGTAGTCAGGATGCTCTGCCCACGACTCCAGGACAGCGAGTCGATTGCTGATACATGACTCAGACACCGTCAGTTTGTTCTCACCTGAGGGTGAGAAGATGCACCAGGCATGTGTGTTTAAACAGCCAAAAAAATAGGATGGTGAGGACTACAAATACTTGTAAAGCCAGAAATGGAGAGTTTCTGTTAAGAGTTTTAACATGTAACATAATATTAATATTTTACATGCCTGCTGTCAGGGCAATGGTAGCTTCTTAGCTCATTCCTCTGATAAGGAAGTCAATAATTTTCACCTGTCTCATCATGAATATTTAATAACATTAAAATGCAGTGAAGGAACCTACTGGTCTGGGAGAACTTCTCCAAAGCGATGAGAGCAAATAGCATGACAGTAGGGTGGGCCTCGGAGCTCTGGACGGAGATTGACACAAAAGAAGTAGTCGTCAGTTTGTCTTTTTCAGATTATTGTTTGACCCAGACAAAACATTTTTTTATGAAAACATCCAATACCAATGCACAAGCTCGTGTAATGACGCCTTCTGTTATTAGTCAAGAGTGAGCATGCTTACATTGACAGATGTTAGATGAAACAAAAGGTGGTTGAGAGTGTTGTGAGTGACAGCCGTGTCAAGGTTTCACAATGACTTCACTTATTTACTGCACAACCTTCACTATTAACATTCACCTGTTACATGCATCTGTTAGCATGACTTAAGTCACTGACAGTTATGTACAATAAAATAAAAGGATTTCACTTATACATTTTCCAAAAGTCCTCCGCAACACTTGATGCAACTACTTCATAGTAAAAGGCAACACTGAACATTTTTAAGAGAAGCAGCTGCAAATGTTTGTTTCTTTTTGTCAGATTAGTATGAAACACTTCCTTATAACTGACTTCCTTATAGCTCTGACAAAGCAATGTCCAATGTTTGATGTCCAACAACACATTGGACAATAAATCTTTTTCAAAATGCCTTTTTGAATTTGGAAGTTTGGAATTTGAACCTGTCTGACTGACATGGTTGGACGTCGCACCTTCTATTAATTCGAAGCATACGGACGTCTTAATGCTGCATTTACACAGTCAGCATCTCATCCAATCTTTTCATCCATTACCACTAAGGTCAATAATTGCTGGATAAGATAACTACAGAATTCACCTAACCAGCCAGGTAGTTGATCGCAATTCATTGGCAAATGTTACACATTGTTGTATGTATGTGAGGAATGGATTTAAAATGGAAGGGTTGGACGTCGCACCTTCTATTAATTCGAAGCATACGGACGTCTTAATGCTGCATTTACACAGTCAGCATCTCATCCAATCTTTTCATCCATTACCACTAAGGTCAATAATTGCTGGATAAGATAACTACAGAATTCACCTAACCAGCCAGGTAGTTGATCGCAATTCATTGGCAAATGTTACACATTGTTGTATGTATGTGAGGAATGGATTTAAAATGGAAGGGTAAAAAAGGGGTGGATAGCATGTAGCAGGATACAAACATATGTTTTCGGTAAACAAAAAAGTAGCTTGGTTGTTGAGGTATCACAAAAAAGGTGATGGACCCCCCCCCAACGCAACATTCATGGATAACCTGCCATGAATTAAAACCAAGCAATGTAATGTTATGTCGTTCCACAAAATTAAGATGGGCATGCATACTGCCACCGCAAGAGTGTGTGAGAGTGCGTGTTTGCTCACCAGGCTCTCCAGAAGGTACTCAAGGGTTCCAGGACTCAACAATCCAATACTGGCCGGACCTAAAAAAACACGAGAGAGAAAAAAAAAAAAAAACTGTCTGTGTAACCAAAATAATGATTTATGGGAAATTATTTTTGATCATCAATAATAAAAAGTACATTAAGTCCTAAGATGGTGTTTCTTGGGCATTATAATGAAACGACAAGAACAAAAGAATATAATAAGTCAACTTTCTTCACCTTTCTGTTGAATTTCATTTGATGACTGGGAGGAGCTGCTTGTTGATTCCAAGAACGTCGAGGGACTGAGCTAAGCTAGTGTAATCTAACCATTAAATATACCAACTGCAAAAAGCAAACCATGAATGGTACTACTACTCTGGTTAAATAGTAACAAGATTAGTTTGGAAAAACTAGGGTATCGGATATCTATAATGTGAATTCCTAGATTTTAAAGTTAATCTCCCATTTCCTTTTGAAAGAGAACGTATTCTTACTATAATTATAACCATACTGTCTATTAACTCCGCCTCTCTTTCATTCGTTTCTATAGGTGGGATGTCTCTAATGACTGTTGTGTATTTTGGGTTTTAACTGCGTGCTGTCTAGAAGTCCTCGCTGCACGCAGAGTCGTTTTCTCTACTCTGCTCTCTGCTGGACTGTAACAGTGCGTAACAATCATATGTCTCGGTCTCTGTACCATCTGTGCGCACATGATGTACTGCCCCAGTGGAATACAGACTACAATCGGCTTCACCCTTATCGCACTAGCCGTACAGGGCGAAGCCTATACAAACAGAATGTTAGCTACGTTCCGTAACTCCAGATTCTACGTATAGACGTAGCCCTGTATGCTGTGGGCCCCTCTGGTTCCTTTAATTAGCAGAAAACAAAGCTGATTTTGAAAGCCTATTGTCCGGTCAAAAGTGAGACCAATATAGGGTCCACATAGTAAGTGGGCGTAGACTAAAAGTCTTCAGTGCTGCGCAAGAAAGGGATAAACCCACAAGCAGTAGCCTTAGAGGACTGCATCTACACCAGCACCAACACCTGACCAAGTAATGGTGTAACTTCATCAGAAGGACTTTATTAAGGAGTTTATTTGATTTATTTTTGTGCTTATATGAATCGAGGGAAAGTTACTGCCAATGGAAGCAGTGACGAGAAAAACAGGATTAACAACACAGAGTGAGTGAATGTGGACTGTACCAGCCAGTTTCTCTGCCAGGCATCCCAGGACAGCTGTGGTGTTTCTGTGTTTAGCAGGGCATAGAGCATCCTGTCGTGCTACAGCTGCACTCAGACTCAACATGTCAGAGAGTTTCTGAAGAGCATCCTGGAGAGAAGAGATGGAGCGGTTATTCTAATGAAGGCCACATAAACACACAGTTTACACAACAAATATTTACAAAGTTGAAGACGATGGAGATGACTAGGAAAGGAATACCTTCTGCATTTATGAAACTGGCGCCACCTGCAGGCAAGGAGTGTTACAAGCGCAGATGTATCCTTTTTGTAACTGCTGCTTGAATGTGTGTGTGTGTGTGTGTGTGTGTGTGTGTGTGTGTTTGTTTGAAGCTTTAGATTTAAGATTTTAAACCCACAATATGTTTTGTTAGGTGGAGCATATTTCTGTTGAATACTGCAAAGAGTCCAGACTTCATACTGTTCAGAGTGTCATAGAACGTCCTCTGTCCTCAGGTTACTTCAGACATGAAAGCAGGGGGTCCTAACCAGATTTTATTTGTTCAATGGGAAATAAGAAGTAGGGTGGGAGAGAGGGGGTTGAAAGCAGAGGCCAAAAGAAAACAATAAATGGAAAGTCATAGTGAAAGTAGATCAAGTTCTGTCTATTTCTTTAAACATTTATTTAATCTCAACCGGAGGTTAGTTTAACACAATGATGTTTTATGTTCAATAATCATTTAATTGTATGCAGTAGATAGAAACTTCTTGCCTATAGGTGGCACCAGTGTTAAAATTGGCTGTAGGTAGAGACATCAGGTGTGTTTGACTTCATGTAGCGCTTAACGTGATGCATGCTGGACTTAACACAAGGCATGCTGGTTAGAAATTGTGTCCCACTTTCACCGGAGCTGCAAAACTTCATCATGTCACAACATTAAAACCTCATTGGTTCAAGGCGGCGTTGCTTTTCTCCGGCTGCACAAAGTTGGAACCACCTTTTGACTGATCAGTCATTGATCTCAGCTCACAGAAAGCTCACGCAGGTAGAATTTGTGTCCGACTTGACGGCTGTGTTTTTATACCCCTCCCCTGCAGTCGCCTGCAGCTCACGTTTGACAATCAAGCGAAAGTCAGCCAGAGTCATCTCATCAATACATTTACATCTGTAGGACTAAACTGCTGCTGTTATTCCTTTCCATCCCCATTGCTGCACGTCAACTTGTGTACAACTGGTCTAACAATGACTGCTCCTGAGGAGAATCAGCAGCCTGCCAAATAGGGCTGCACGATTAATCTAATCACAGTCATGATGTCATCCTGTGCGATATACAAAACCGCAAAGAAGGTGCGATTTAATTAAACAGAAAAGGTGGGCAGTGTAATTGACACACTCGTCTCTGTGTGCACTGCAGACTGCTCATTATCCACGCCCACACCGGGCAGTACATGCTAACCAGAAAAATTATTTATGAGCAGTGTGCGAGTAACATTTAAGACAACCTACCGTAACCCCCCTCCCCTGCCCGCCCCGCCGCTAATTGTTCAAAACATAGTCGGACTCATCACTCGTAGTTGGTCGCTCTGTGACAGAGACACAGATGCGTTGTCGGCAGCTGAAGTGGTCAGACAGAAGAAAACCGGGAGAACATAAGGAAGGTTTAGGTTTGGCTAGCTGGGCATCTAACATTAGCTGTATCAGCGCCTTTTGTTGTTCAACACGTTCAACTTTTCACAGAGCCGACGTGCTTGTCAGTGTCACTTTTTGTCAACCGACCAATCACTCACTGCAAACACACTAGCTTGCCCCGCCTCTTCCTGTCCGCTCCCCTGACTTTCTCCATCAGCAGTATGTTTTATAAAGTCGGCCAAAAGACACATTTGTCTTTTTTCTGGAGTTCTCCACCCGTTGTTACGACAGCAAGTGAGCCACATGCCGGCTTATTAATGACGTAACCAAACGTAATCAAATAACTGAAACCAACATCTGCACTTCACTGTTGATTTACCTGATCCATGCTTGTAAAATATCCACGTGTCCAAGTTTTTACCAGGTGAGGTAGGGATGTCCCGAAATGAAAATTCTGGGCAAATACCAAACAAATTTTTTCACATTTTTTCTCCCCCATTTATTTTGCATTTTTTTACAACTGCATAAATTAAATAGTTAAAATGTGCTTTTTACTCTATGTTTCCCACAGGATTTGGAGAGAGTATGGAGGGTGGGTCTGAGGCCCAAGAGGGTCTGGTAAAGTAAATTACATGTGTCCATTTACTTTTAATGTACACCTGTAATATGTTTTATACTTTCTGAGAAATAATCCAATTAATCTCATTTCCATTCTGTATAGATACCTTATTTTGAAACCGTACGTTGTCACATGTCCAACCCAATATGATAAATGTTGTACGTGGTTCTCGTATCGCGTAACCTGAAGACTTCACATCCTCTCTTCAGGTAGGACTCTCATACTGCAACACGCTAACCTGCCTGTCAGCTCACTCTGGTCCATTTCAGATACCATAAAGGCTTGAATATGTGTGCACTCCAAATTTAGGAGCCGCTAGCTCAATCGCCATCTCACAGACGAGTGGCAGAAACACTCAAAGCGGGTCAGATCGTTTGTTGCCTTTTCTAAGAAGTCAGCCACAGATGGAGTGGATGTGCTAGAAGACAATTAAGCAGAACAGTGTCTGCAAACGGCGATTTTTGCGCCTTTCTCGGACACTTTAATATGCTTCCACACTGCCGACATGTCAACGTAATTGTTCGGTAAAATTTATGTCTTTTGACGTATTAGGCGTAACACAGAAAGTGCTTTTTTTTGCCCAATTAATTTCAGTGGGCGAACATTCGGTGCATCCCTTGAGTGAAATCTGTGTGTGAAACACATGTCATTATAAGACGACCGCACCCCCCCCACCCGATGCCATTGTCCATCCCGATGTTTCATTGTAGACATCGTCCAATGGCAATTTTATAGACATCGCCCGAAACAGACTATAAGGGTCAAATTATTTTACATGTATTAACTAAATAAATCTCTTTGTGCCTCACACACATAAGCCACTAACCTTGGTGGGCAGGGGACATTCGTCCAATAGAAGGGTGATCACTGCAGGGCCAAGCGGATCGTCCAATGGGATCACTCGAACCAGAGACTGGACAACCTCCAGCCAGCCATCATCTGAGGGAGAAGAGATGGAAAAATTAATTTGAGACTCAAGAGACTGAATTTGATAATTCAGATGTTTCTTCTTATTGGTCCAGATTGACTTCCTTGTCTCTGTGTTGCTTGTGTTCTTTCATTATAATACATTTCTCATGCAAAAACACAAGAATTGCCATTGTTAGTCCTAATGAAACCAGATAACTCAAAGATAACTGAACTGTGCTGAGGCCACTGGATTTTTCAGACGTAGCATAAATAATAAAATATCAATTACCCGTCCATTAGATGACTCTGTGAGAAACTCTCTCTCTCTTCACTATCACTTATGAAAGCCCCAGCCAACTGGCCAATTAATAATGTAACATCATAGCACATGTCAAACTGAAAATGACTGGCTGGGCTGACTGACTTGATGCTTGGCTGCCTTTAGGGTTTGGTATCTGCAAGTTAACACCAAACTTGGCTGTTGTCAAATTACACAACACCAAGCCATGCGGGCATCAAACACCATATGTGCCAGAACACAAAAATTCAAAAGGCTATCGCAAAAGCATACACACAAACCCACAGAGGATGAGAGCATCATTCACACACCATATGCACAAGAAAGCACACACAACAAACCAAAAACACATACAAACATCAACAGACTATCAGACCTGTCAGTTACTGTCACACTAACAACACACTTAATTTATTAATTATTTCAATCTTATTTAGACATCATTCATATGATCGTGGTGGTAGGTAGCGGCCAACACATGATGTCTGCAGTGTACAGAACTATGCAGAAGTTTAAGGCAGGTGTGGAAAACATGCTGTAAAGTAAGAATGCTTATAAAATAGACATGTATATCTTTTATATGTTATTAACAAAATGCAAAGTGAATGAACAGACATTGAAGAAGAATTCAAGCTATTTTGAAGGCAATGGATGGTCACACCAAACTGATTATTTAGATTTTTCGTCTTCTTTTGTTGCATTTTCAAACATGTCTATTTTTGAAAGCATTGTTACTATACAGCACTTTTTCACACCTGCCTAAAACCCTTGTACAGTATTGTAAGTCATGACCATGTCCCTTCCCTAGGTGATGTAACAAACCCCCCCCCCTCCCGGGCCAGTGGGTGTGTTGGAGAAATGCTGAGGCAGCAATACAACAGCAGACAGGTGGTGTTGCAGTCCCAGCAAAGGTTTCTCCAGTTTTATATAAAGGGCCTCTTTAACACTTCATTTAAAGCCACCCATCGTCTTTGTGTGGGATTTGTCCTAAAAGTTGTGTTTCTTCTTAACAACAGAACATAGCTTTTTGAACACCAAATATTTATAAAATATATCTGCACATATCGTTGACAGAGTGGTTTGAATGAGCTGTCAGATAGGCTAAATATGTAAAACTGGAAAAGATGAAGAGGACTGTGACTGTCTGCTGCTTACAAAGTTACTGTAATGTCACAGCCTCAGCAGTTCTCAGAAACAAAACCACCAGCTCAGCCTGAGGGGGAAGGGACAGCATATTCAGAAGAGACCTGTTTAAATTCACGGGACTCCTCACCAGTCAGTAGAGATGAAAATCCTTAACTTCTACAGCCCAGTGGACAGTTTCATTTCAGCCTGAAGAAACTGTAATACTGACTCAATGTCTGAATTACTAAAACCAAGAAAACCGCCAAATGACTGTTTCCGAGTAGTGCTGGGCAGTATATGGGTAAAATCAGGTATACCAATATAATTTCTAAAGAGATATAAAATTAGACAATACCATTTATACCGATATAGTCTGATGTTGAGTTAATCAATATGTTTTGTTAAGTCCTGCCAGCGTTTGCTCATCTCTCTCCCTCACCGTGCAGCCCCAGCCCTCCCTATGCGTCTGCACGCAGCCTTCTACTCACAAAGTGCACAGTGCTGGTCGACACTGCTGAAGACCTGGCTTGTAAAAAAAACAATGGTCCCCCACCCCCCAGCCAACTTAGCAGAAAATACCGATATATATATTTTATACTGGAGTTCTGCCTAACAGTACCGGGATATGACATTTTGGTCCATATCGCCCAGCCCTATTTCTGCGTAGAGCTAATGTTCCTACTTTCCCCCCCCACTATTAAACCTTTCATCCCATCATTTCAAAACACATGAAAAGTGCTTCTGCATCATATTGCTTAGTGGATTCTGTACTGTCTACATGGGCACGGCGCTGTCTGATACGTCCTCACTCAGGGTGTAAATGTGTGTTTTCATCTTTTCCTTACCTGTCTCTGCCATCTCATGCAAAGTGATCATGGAGTAAGGGGGCTCTTGGTCACTGAAAAACAAAACAGTTTGCACAGAATGTGATAATTGTTTCTCACATTGTTTTCACTTTACCCTATCCACCAAACACTTATACATATATACACACATATTTTATCCATAAGAGCATTCAACCAGCAAATACATCTCAACTGTCCATGACCCTGTGATCACTGCATCTGAAATAATGTAAACAAGTGATTCATGCCTTTGTGTGCTTAACGGTGATTGCAGTAATTGCTATGCAAAATAAGGTTGCCCCACAAGGTCAAAGCAAGCGTTTAATTGGGATGGATTTACTGAAGTGCATGTGTTGTTTTTGATCACGCTGCCGTTACTGTAGCTTGTCATGGCTCATCCCAGGCTGAAGACTGCTTTCGTTTTGACAGCCAGAACATCAGCAAGCTTGATCCTCAGATTTCCTAAAGCAACTAAGTAATACTGTAACTGAAATTTCTTTCATTTATAGGTTGAACAAATTCCTGGAAATGTACATGCATGTTTCATTCTCGGCTGCACACTCCAAAGACATGCTGTATTGTGCAGCCACTGTTAAATGTTAGTATATTGACAGATAGATCGTGTATAACTTAACAGCGCCAGCTTCCAAATAATGTCCTCCTATGAGAGGTGCTATTGGATATTTATTTTATTTCACTGATCAAACGGTTGCTTTTTTGATTAATAGGATAATAATTTAGGATACAAAATAATAGAAATTCTAAATATTCATTCACATACGAAGCTTTAACACGCTTGATAGCTAAATATAGTTGCACATGTTGACACAATGTTGAACCTTAACGCAGAAGTTTGTAACTTATAGTCTCACATCCAACGCTCACTTCCGTTCCCTAATTTAGTGCATCTACAGTAGCCCGGCATTTTTAATCACACCTTCAACTAGTACGCCTGTGTATTCACAAGTGACGAGACCACCGAATGAACACCACCTCCACCATATTAATGTTACAACAACTGCCACAAACACTGAACCTCAACCTTGAAATACAGTTATTAATTCGGGTCAACTTTCCAGCCTGTAGTTGTTAAAATGTACCTGTCAGGCTAAAATGGTTGGCTGTAATGTGGGGGAATTGTGCTAGAATAAATGTCAATGAATTCAATAGTAAAATATGTAAACTGAAAATAAAAACATGCAGTCATTTCAAAAGATGGCTTGATAAGACAGAATATGCAGAGAAGAGGGGGGGGGATCAAACGATCATAAGCTTTGCAGACCAGAGGCCTGTTTCTTTTTTACTATAAACTAAGTTTTAAAAACATACATTTGCACAAATGGTCAAATCAGTGAAAAGTTACATGGGTATGTAAAAAGAAGAGTTTGGAAAGTAACTAAAGCTGAGCTCATGTAGATGGGGAGAGGAGAGGTACATGAGGCTGCACAGAGCTATGACAAAGGCCCCGGGGGACATAAATCAACATTTTAAATGATCCACATGTTGGAGATCCTCAAGAAAACTTCAATAGTGCCAAAAGCTGGTGAAGATGGATGTGGAATCTCTCTGCATGAACTCAAGAAATATGACTCCACACTACGCCAGGACAGAAGAGATACTCTAACGGCCAGGTTCATGGAAAGGAGAGTGAAATGTTAATGAGGTAGGCTGACAAAAATGAGGCATACTACTGAGTTGCTGCTGCTAGACAACCAAAACAGACTACACTGCTGATAATTTACATGGGCCTATTTTAACATTATACTATTATTACTTACATAGTTTCACTTTTCATGTCAATTACGCATCTCCTGAACCATGACACACTCAACAGCCATCCTTTTCCTCTCAAAGGCAACCAAACCTATGCACTGAAAGGCTTTTCTTGCAAGAGAATGATGAAGAGGAGGATAATAAAGTGCTTCAGCATTCACGCAGGCAACATAATTCTTGCTACATCATTGCAGCAAGTCATCACTAAGTCAAGAGAGGAATCACAGTACATAAAGGAACATGAAGTCCTCTCAAGAGTTCAACCTACAGTTCTGCTTGTTGTGTTTTGTTATACATCCATCATCAACCGCTTATCCTGTGTACAGGGCCACGGGGGTGTTTTGTTAGTTCAGGTGAAAAAAGTCTGTTTTGTATGTTAAGTGTTTATTAAGTCAACAATTATAATTTCTACTCTGAAGACATTTCATATTATTACAACTGTGTTTTACTATATTTTAATTAATTATTCGATTATACAGCAGCCTCCACTTACAGGTCTCCACAGAAGACGTTATTAGATGTTGACACATTAATCCCACTCAGTGTTTCCCCTATATGCATTTAGGAGCGGCAGTTTTCGATCTGAAAAAGTGGTTTTGGAAAAGAAAGGACAGAGGTGACTGGAGGAGCTGAGGTTAGTAAAGCTAATTAGTGATGCAAACTAGTCCTTTTAAGATAATGAGGAGACATTTCTTTTTGGATTTTAATGTGCAAATAAAATGCACCTCTGAAGGGAGGTGGTTTCTCATGAGAAAAATTTGGCTTCACCTCCACTGCTACAACTCCATCCTAGGGGAAACACTGCCACTTATAATAGCTTCAAAGATAAAGGACTTAGTCAAAGTCGTGCATGCCGTTTTTGCATGCTCATGACAGCAAAACAACCTCATGTTGTCTCTGAAGTTTGACTGACCGTGGGTTTCGTGGGCAGCTTCTGTGATTGAATGTCATGGCATTTGACCCACAATGCTCTAGTTGACATAAACGGCAACCCTCATGTTTATATCTATCTCACTGTATGACAACAAACGGGATCAAGAAGGTCCAAATGAGCCGAGCCAAAACACCTAGTAAATATTCCACAACAGCTTGATTACTTTTCCAGGGTACTGTGGATGCCCGTTTGCTGGTCCACATCAACTTACTACTCCTTTAAATGTTAATGTATCTACATGTACGTGACAAAGAGTATCATAAAAAGTATTGAAACTGATTTAACCAAAGACCAGGATGGTCACGTGTCTGCTCATTATGGTCCTCACACTGGAACATATCCTCATGACCCTCGTTCAGGTTCAAGAATGTTTTTAGGTGGCTGAGACATTGTCAGAGCTCACAACAGACACCGTTACTCAAACTACAGAATATTAACTTGAAAAACTGTACAGACCACTCTCATCCTTCCTTCCTCTCACATATTTTTCTCTTATTAGACTTACTTGTCAACAAGTGTCCTGATAACAGCCAGTGTGTCCAGCACCAGGCCATCCACATTCTGCTTCTTCCGTCTTGGTTCATGGGGCCCTCGTCCTCTGCGTGGTGGCCTGACCGGGTCCCTGGGTCGACTGCTCCGAGCCTCTCCGGCTTCAACACCTACGCCTGTACCATGATCCACTCGCCTCGGTTGTCCTCGGGTTGCCCTTGACGACCCATGGTTATGGTCTTCCAAGTCACTATCCTCTCGGCACACAGCTGTTACCCATGTTTCCAGTGCCAGAGACCACACTGGAAAGGGTCTCCCAGAATGGAGGAAGGGAGTTTGCAGAGGAAAGGAAGAGCAGAACCTGTGCAAGGCTCCTGCAGGCACAGAAAGTAATCCAGGCGACTACTATCATATCATTTGGAGAGCTTGGTTTTGGGGGATTCTTATCCCAGTGGGCCGGGTGGAGTCAGCGTAAATGATCATACTGTAGCCACCAGATTGGTTTGAGAATATTGATATGCAGCTGGTTAAATGGACTGAGAGGAGTCAGGTGATGGAAGCAGAAAAGCTCTAAAGCTCAAGGCTCTGGTCGAGATCTCATCCAGGGCTGGCATAGCTGCAGGCGCAACACAAACAGTACAGAAAAAGTGAAACACTGCCCCCAAATTAACTCTGTCAGAACTGTATATTTAACTGTTTAACAGATGTTCATGTGCTGCCAGCAGCAAAGCTTAAAACAAGCTGAAGTGACAGACCCCATGAGATAAGTGTCAAGTCTGAAAGAATAAAATAGTGAAAATTGGAAGGAGAAATCAACATTAGCCATTTAGCGGTTCATCTCTCAAGCTAAGTAGCTAACGTGATTAAACAATGTTTCCGTCTAAAGTTGTGCTGTTTAAGAAGTCACAGTATATCAACAATGTGTACACAACACATGTACTAAATTAATGAGACATTTTAGTATTGTTGACAAAGAAGAGCTTTTCAGTTAGCTGCATAGCAGACTAGCCACCAAACAAGCATTGTACCATCAGCACTGCTGGTAAATAAATACCAAGTCTCACAAACTAACACTTATCATTTCGCCAGTGAACTATAATGGTTCAATTTTAAACTAAATGTACTTACGTTGCTACCAGTTGAAAAACAGCAGAATGCAAACGGGCCAGACCGAAGTAGTTAACGAAACAGACAACTAACTGGCTAGCTATGTTGTGTAGCGGCTAGCCAGCTAGCGGTTAGCAGGACACTCCTCTGATCCCCCTGTCAAACTAACGTTACACAAGTTAGCTAACGTGAGTAGCAATGAACTACGCGTGGTACTCAAACGCCGGTGAAGTAACTTATTACATGACCTGCCGTTATGACACATTTGCTTAACTCTAAACCCGCACATTCATATGAGGGTTAGCTAACACCTCGTAAACAGTTTAACGACGCTACACCGCTAGCCGCGTGCTAAGTTCCGTAGCGCTAAGAGAGACGCGATCATCAGCTGTGGCTGCGGAGGCGCGGCTGGAGGAGGTAGGAGGAGGATTTCTGTTAAATACAACGTCAACATACAGCAAAGATCGCTGTTTCCCCAAAACACAACCTCTCTTTCTTTCATTCTATGACGTAATATAGAGCCAATGAATCTGTATTAAAATAGTATTGTTTTGTGCATTATATTTATACACATTGTAGCCAATATAATGTT